GAGGGCAGGAGGGGAGGGCTTGTGTACTGAACTTTGTAGGAATATCCCTATCTTTGTTCTAACTGGTTTGCCTGCACTGGTTGCATAAATATATCTCTGCCTCTTGTCACTTCTGTTTGTTCCTCTCTTCCTTCAGTTCTGCATGAGTGTCTGTTCAGGCTGCCTGATTCTGGCTGTAGTTGGACACTATGTTCCAGGCATAATGATCTCCTACATCATTTGTGAGTATAAGCAGCTCTCGTGACGTACACTGAAGCACGACCTAGCTGTGCTGTTGATAGACTGGTAGAAGCATGTGTGGTTTTGGAGATTTGTTGTTGTTTGTTTTTGTGTTTTTTTTTGCAGGGTTATCTGCTAGGTAATCAATCAATACAAGCAGTGCACTCTGGGAATTCTTGCTTTAAGTGTGTGTGTGCAGTGCAACTGCAGAGTCAGGAGAGGGAGCCATCACTAAAACATTGCTTTCCTCTTTTATCCTTGCAGCTGTGCTGGTGAGGTCTCAGAGAAGCAGAGAGCTGCAGTTTCTCAGTTCCTACAATCTATTTGAGAGAGTTATTAAAGAAAGCACGTGTTTAGCAAATAAGGCTTTCTAACTGCATCCTGAGTCCCTGCTGGTTCCAGAGGTAGTTCAGGTGCTTTGCTGCTGGCATGTCTCTGTGCTGCTACCTTTCTAAAAGTTTCAGTTATTTTTGGTTTATGTTGTTATTTGAATGCCCCATTTTAGGGCCTTTGTTGCATGCTGAGGCTGGGACACAGTAGCTGAAACGGGGAGCTTCTGTTTCATTTTAACATAAACCTGTATTGAAACATGAACATGGACAGACATTGGTTAGGAAAACCTGACTAATTTAGCAGCTTTGGAACGAGTAAGAATAACCAAGGGTTAGGACTTTAAGCTGTCAAATGGAAAGCACATTCAGTTCAGCTGCACTTCCCTTAACACAGAGTGATGGTACCTGTTCTTCCTCTTACACTCTTTTCACCCTGTGTTCATTGCAGTGCTCAGCATTCTTCTCTGGCCTCTGGTGGTCTACCATGAGCTGATCCAGAGGATGTACACACGATTGGAGCCTGTTCTGATGAAACTGGACTACAGTATGAAGGCAGAGACATTGCACCACAAGCACGAGAAGAAGAGTAAGCACTCACCTTCTTCCTGACTCCAGGGTGAAGCACAAGGGAAGAGTATGTGAAAACAGTATGCTGCTGTGACGGAGCACGGAGAAAGACTGAAACTTGAGGGTTTGGGAGAGAAAAACTGGGCTTGTCCTCAATATAGCAAACAAAAGCAACAGGTTGTAGTTGTTTCTGGAAACTCATCCATTCTGGTAAACCTATGTGGTTTTACAGGGTAGAAGAGTTGGATGAGTGATGCATAAAAGAGAAGTTCATTCAGTCTCAAGTAGACATGGATGGATTGGATGATCTTTTAGGTCTTTTCCAACCTTGGCGATTCTATGATTCTGTGATTCTAAACCCATCTTTTTTTACTCATAGAGCGACAAGTGAAGAGTGAGCCTGCAGCAGGTGATGAGCCAACAGCAGAGACGGAGAGTGAGAGTGAGGCAGAACTGTCAGGCTTCTCCCCAGTGGTAAGAGCACAGCAAACCTATGCAGGAGCCAGTCCTTCCTTTCAGTGGCATCTTGAGAACCACAGGTGGTATGAGTATAGCCACACTGTAAACAGTACACCAGCAAGTCACCACAGAATACCAGGGAGGAAGCGTACCTGTTTGATGAATATCTGTTTGAAGACTGCTTAATAACCAGTCTGGTTATTAAGAATTCAGAGTTGGTGAGGCAGAATGGGAGGAGTCAAGCCCCAGCCACTGGCTGACCTGCAGAATTGCTTTGATGCTTGTGCTGTGTGCTCAGAGGACACAAAAGTGTCCTTAGCTTTGCTGATACAACGTGCAGGAGGCTCCCATTCTGCTCACAGCTGGGAAAGGCAGATGAGTAGTACTAGTTCCCTTACCTTGACCTCCTGCCCTCAGACAGGGTGAGACTCTTCTGTGCATGCACCACAGAGATGGTGCAAGTGTTTGCCTTTAAAGGAGCCCTGAGCACGGAGCTAGGCTCATGGGATGAAGTAGGAAGCTTTCACTTCCAAAGCAATGCAGATGCTTGAGCTACTGTTACATGTAGAAGGCTTCTTTGTACCTAGCGCGAAAGCAAGAGGGAAGGGGTGTTTTGTTCCTTGATGTTCCCAAAAGAAGGATTGAAGTCTTGTGAGACTCCTGCAGGCTGATCTCACCTTGTACTGGCTCTTTCAGGTCCTTCACTGAGAGCAGGCAAAGTTCCAGCAGTCAGGAAAGCCAGTGAGTTGTGACTGTCCTTCACTGGCAGTGCAGTAAGCACTTTGTCACATCCGTTCTGCTTCATAATGTCTCTGCACACTCTCTCCAGAGAAGGACTTCTGCCTGGACACTCTGGCTTGTGTGGAGATGCTTCACTGGTAGTCAGACATACAGGAACTTGTTGCTCTGCTTTCATCCTGTGCAGGTGGACGTGAAGAAAACTGCCCTGGCACTGTCAATCACAGATTCTGAGCTCTCTGATGAAGAGGCTTCCATCCTGGAGAGCGGGGGCTTTTCTGTCTCAAGGGCTACCACCCCACAGCTGACAGATGTTTCTGAAGGTACATAATGCAACATTTTGCTGCCTCCCTTACCTGGGGTGTTTTGACACAGAGTAACTGCTCTTCTAAGTGGGACGACACAGAGAGAACTCAACTATTTGCAGGGGGAAGAACATTAAAAGAGGGAAGCAGTAGTGGCAACACTGTATGCCCTGGCTTTATGGGTGGTACAGAGTTGGTCAGGACTGGAGATAGGCTTCTGATATAACTATCCTATAAGCCAGTGCTTCCTCATCACTCCAGAAAGGAAGGAAGGCCATCCACAAAATCCCTGCGAAATGGCAGAAGATACAAGAGTAGAGAAGACCCACAAAAATAACAGCATAGTATGGTCATACACCACTGTATGATGCTGGTTTGAACAGGTCAGACAGCTCACCTTGCCAGACTCATATAATGCTATAATGCAATGGAAAGTACAGCAGTAACACTGTGGTGGCACAATCCTAGGCTATAACAAATGAGAACAAGCCCCAGCACAGCAGCCATGGGCACAGAAATAAAGAATGTCTACTTACCTTTCAAAGGCCTCAGGTAGGCAGAGACCTCCAGCAAGAGATGCCCTCACCTCCACTGCCCACCCTTAAATGAGGTCTGGGAAGAGGTGGATCCTGGCTCCACCCCTTCTGGTCACTCAATGCATTGCATGCACCTGAGCTGCCCTGGGTTGGTCCTGCCTTTCCACCAGGGGAGTCACTGTTCCAAGCTGTGACTTAGCATTTCCACTTCAACTGACAAGCTCAGTCAGTTGTGTGGAGTGTAAAGATAATTGCTCCGATGTGGTCGCTTGAGTGTTTGGGGAGGAACAGGCAGAGAGGGAGTGCTATGAGCAGTGAGAACAAAGGAAGGTTGGTTTTCTCAGAGCACAGAATGCATAGGGCAGAATAGGAAAGGGAACACTAGGTTAGTGTTGTAGTGCCACTGGGAGAAGGGAATAACTACAAATGCCTGTGCTCCCAAAACTGGGAGAAGACCTAGAAGAGAGCAATGGTGTGTCAGCTGGGAGAAACTGGATGGGAGATGTCAGCACTCTGGGCCGAGGCGAGGTAACCCGTGCCTTAATGTTGATGTTAATGCTGGTGCCTTCCAGACCTGGATCAGCAGAGCCTGCACAGTGAGCCAGAGGAGTCATTTTCCAAAGACCTGGCAGAGTTTCCCTCCGTGGAAGAATACCATTCCAGAGATCTGGGACCACAGAGTGATGAAGATGCATTTGGTGTGCCTCTGGGTCCTGAGCTAGCCCATGCTGCCCGTGAGCTGGACTCAGCAGAGAAGGAGGCTGCGGACTCTGACCTCTCCATCCTTCGCTTAGCGTCTCCTCTCCATTTTGTAAATACGCACTTCAACGGGAGTGGGCAGGTGGCAGGAGGCAGCATGGAGCCAGAGGCTGTCCCTGCACCGGGCATGGGCATCTGCATCGACACGCTGAGCGAAGAGATCGTCACCACTGCCATTACCACAGCGGTGCAGAACACCCTCTCCGCCCTTCTGCGGTCCTCAGAGGCCAGCGAGGGACCCTCCCTCTCTGAGTTCCTCCCCACCGAGCCCGAAGAGAAACTGAGCTTCCAAGCACAGCTGTCAGGGAGCGAAGTGGTGGAGGCAGAGGCAGCAGCTTCACCAGAGGACGAGGAGGAAGCCGATGACTTTGAGCTACTGGATCAGAGGGAGCTGGAGCAAATGGATGTAGAGCTGGGCCTTGGGGAGGAGCAGGAAGGGCAAGAGTCTCCTGCCACTCCGGCTCCGCCTTCCCCCTCTCCCGCGCTTGCTGAGCTGCCAAAGCAAGGAGATGAGGAGGAGGCAGCGATGACAGCAGCATCTATGTCTTAGGTCTTCTTCGTGCACCCCTTCGATCTCCGTCGTCACTGGAAAGAAGGAAGAACTCACGTGGCGAACGCGCAGCGGGTTTTAGATGTCTGTTGACTGGGATGGAAACGCGTCAGTGTTAATGTGCTGTGTTTGGAATAACAAATCCTTTCCATCCTTCTAGAGCCCGGCCTCTGCTGGCTGAGCGGGGGACGGCCCTGCCCCGCCGCTGGGGAGGAGCCGGCTCCTGGAAGCCTTACGCCACAATGGAGCACCAACCCCTGCAAACGCTTCCTAGTAATGGTGCGGTATTTTGGTCTGTCTTCTGTTTGTCTTTCGTTTTGCACGCCGAGTACCGAGCTAGCTGTAGCTGCTGCTAATACCCAAATCCCCAGTAGGATATATGCAATCTTATTTTATTGGGTTTTTAAATGGCTAAAAGTGTAAATAATTTTAACTTTCATCGGTCTCGTTTGGAGGCGGGGTGGGGAGGGGAGCGCAGTCAGACACAGTTCTGAGGGCAGGGGGTAGGCTGGGGGTCTTGAGGGGGAGGGAGGGAGGGAGGGAGAGGACACGAACAGATGGGTCCTGAGCAACAGAGAGCCCCTTTCTGCAACCCGTCGGCATCTTTCACGTGGCTGCTGGAACACGGTATTGGGCGATACCCGTCTTTCCCTGTCTGGTTGGAGTTGTGCTACTGAGTGGCTGTGGAATTCTTGCAATTAATGAATTTCACTCCTGGCCCTGTTCTGCGTGTCTTCCTGCCGGGGCCGTGCCGCACGTCCCTTGAATTGCAGGCTGCCAGGGGGCCGAACAGCCCTCGGGCTCTGCCCCTATTGGGAATGGCGGCGGGGCATCGGAAGACTTCGAAGCACCTCGAAGAGAGCTGGGAGCTCTGTTACACAGAGGGGGGGTCAGCGCTTCGTATGCGCTCAACGGCTGGGGAGGGAGGCAGGAGTCCGTCCCTCACTGCTGGGACAGGGGAAGGTGACGGGTGTGGGGGGGACACGTCTCTTAGCACGAGAAGATCCGAGATCAGCACGCAGCACGGCCAGGCAGGACGTAGCGTCCCCCCCCGCCCGGCTCTCCGGGTTCGCAGTCGTGGGCCGCGCGGGGCTCCGCCAGCTCGCCCTCAGCGGGCGGAGCGGACCGGATGGGGGATCCGGAGCGGGAGGAATGCGGGGAGCCCGGCGCATTGCCGGCGGCGGGGCGAAGAAGAACGGGAGAACAGAAGGCGGAAAAGAGGCGTCGTCCTCCGGGCGCCGTCGGCTCCGCGGGCCGCCCCGTGACCGCCGCGGGGGAGGTGCCGGCCGCGTCCCCGCCCCGCGTGACGCCGGGACGGAAACGGGCGCGGCGCGGGCGGCCGGGAGACGGGCCGCCATGGAGTTCCCGGACCTGGGGGCTCACTGCTCGTGGGCCGCCTGCCAGCGCCTGGGTGAGGGCCGGGGGCCGCGGGGCTCGGCTGTAGCGCGGGGCGGAGCCGCGGCCGTGAGCGCCGGCCGGGGCGCGGCGGGGTGAGGGCCGTGCGGGAGGTGCGGGGCTGAGCGCCGACCTTGCGTCCCGCAGATTTCCTGCCCCTCAAGTGCGACGCCTGCGAGCGGATCTTCTGCACCGACCACGTCGCGTACGCCCAGCACGAGTGCACCTCCGCCTACAAGAAGGTGAGACGCCCCCCCGAAGCCCCCCATCCCGAAGTCCCGCATCCCGAAGCCCGGCGCTCCTGCCGCTCTCCCGTGCCCGCAGGACGTGCAGGTGCCCGTGTGCCCGCTGTGCAACACGCCGGTGCCCGTGCGGCGGGGCGAGATGCCCGACGTGGTGGTGGGAGAGCACATCGATCGCGACTGCAGATCCGACCCCGCGCAGCGCCAGCGCAAGGTGGGAACCGCGAGACCCGCGGCTGGGAGATCCGAGCTCTGGGGAGGCGGTTGGGGAAGGCTCTGCCGGGGCATGCGGGTCCCCGCTCAATGCCACCACCGCTTGTAGATCTTCACCAACAAATGCTTGAAGCCCGGCTGCAAGCAGAAGGAGATGATGAAGGTGATCTGTGAGCAGTGCCACAAGAACTACTGCCTGAAGCATCGGCACCCACTGGACCACGACTGCACTGGGGCTGGGAGGCCTCTCTCTAAAGCGGGGTGAGCATCAGAATGGAGCTCCCACTGCCCCCGGCCCTGTGCATGGGATGCCACCTGCTCACCCCCAGCACACGCTCCCTTCCCCAGGCATGCTGCGCTTTCCAGGGCCCAGGCGTCCCCCCCACAAGCCAGCAACACATCGAGTAGCGCTGCCCGGCCTGCAGGGACCCCCCCCTATCTTCCCCCTGCCAGGTAGGTGCCAGCCCTGCTGCTCATACCTGATGGGCAACAGCTCTGTGGCATCACCCAGCTTCTCTCTGTTGTCTGCAGAGGTGTAGGAGCAGCTGTGCCCCAGGTCCGCAGCACCTCCCCGCCAGCTACCATACTGCAGAACGGGCTGGTGAGTGTGGGGGGCCCTGTGCTTTGGGGGCTGTCAGCACCAGAGGGGCTGAGCTGAGGATGGAGGAGGACAGAGGCTGCCTCTTGCTGCCTTAGCTCCCAGCCTGGGCAGGGGCAGCCATGGCTGCTGACGAGGGGCTTTGTTGCAGAGTGAGGACGAGGCGCTGCAGCGGGCACTGGAGATGTCCCTGGCAGAGTCGGCACGTGGCTCGGCGCAGCCACCCAGGTACAACTGGGGCATGTGGTGCCACCCTTGTGCATGCCTGGCTTGTGTGGCCTGGGGTGATGCTACCCACAGCACAGGGCTGCACATGGTGGCCCTGCTCTGCAAGGTGCTGGGGAAAAGGGAAGAGCCCAGAGCTGCAGCTGAGCCCACTTCTGTTTGGGGACAGTGCCAGGCAGTGCAGGGGGGACATGCTGCTTCCTGACTGCTTGGCACTGACAGGCACAGCCATATCTGCAGGTGGCAGCTGGCAGCTCATGGGCACACTGCTCGGTGCTGCTAAATGGAGCGTGGGCATGCAGGCAGCCCCCCTGCCCTCTGCTGCCTCTGGGACATAGGGGGGAGGGCACATGGGGTGCCAGGCACACAGTGCGCCACTGTCCCTGCAGCACACAGGAGGAGGAGGACCTGGCACTGGCGCAGGCACTGTCAGCGAGTGAGGCTGAGTACCAGCAGCTGCAGAAGCAGGTAAGCAGGCTGAGTCTGGCCACCCCCATTTCTACTCCCCCATTTCTGCTTCCCAGGGACCACACAGGGCTGAGGAAGATGTCACCTTACCTTGCTCACTGCATGCTCTCTCCCCTGACAGGGACAAGGCTCAAAGCCATCCAACTGCAGCATGTCATAGGCACGTAGGGGCTGTGCCAGTAGATGTGGCATCCTGCTCGTGGCACAAGGAGCAGCCGTGGCACCGCATGTGGATGCTGTGGGGTCCTGGCCTGAGTGCCACCAGGAGCCACCTGATCTCCCCAGGGCTCTAAGCAAGCCACAGAGCGCACGCCAACGTCTCATCCCGCATGCAGGCGGTGCAGCATGCTCCTGGAGAGGTGGGAGCTGCAGGGTGACTGAGCACAAGCTGAGCACGGCGACTGCAGGTTGGGCCATCTCCTCAGGAGGAGCCCAAAGGGGCATCTGGGGGCAGTGCCCACCAGGGGATGGTGGTGCGCTCAGGTTGGGGTGAGGGAGTGCTTTTGTGTCAAAGTGCTGCTTGGGAGAAAATAAAGGCATGGCCAAGGTACATGGTGGCTTTGAGGAATGGTGTATTGGAGCTGTACCCTTCTGCTGGGGTCCCTGAGGCCCACAGCTCCCTCCCCAGGGCCATCCCACAGGCGCACCCCCTGTCCAGAGCACACAGCACAGAGATGAGAAGGACCTGGTTTAAGAAACTACTCCACAGCAGAACAAACAAGTACAAATGGAGTGTCCAGGCTGGGCCCTGCAGCTCCCAACACACACAGGTAGCCGCAGCCAGCAGTGGGGTCTCAGCACCAACCATGGGTGCCCCATCTCTTGGTCACACCCGGCTGCACTCATGGCTCCTTCTTGCTGCTGGGGGGCTTCTCAGCGTGCTGCTCCTTGCTCTCGCCCTCTTCCCCCACCTGCTGCTGCAGCCACATGCTGGCATAGATACCTCCCTTCTGCAGCAGCTCCTCATGCCTGTGGGGGTAGAGGGGGCTGTGGGTTGCCCTGGAAGACTCCATGGATGGGCGGCACCAAGCCCGTCTACTCACCTCCCGCGTTCAGCGATGCGCCCATCTTTGAGCACCAGAATCTGGTCTGCACCCACAATGGTAGAGAGTCTGCATGCAAAAAGGGGTTTGCACAGCGTGAGGAGTGTGCTGGGTGCAAGGAGAGTCCCTGCAGATAGCAGCCAGCTCTTGACACTGCATCAGAGGATGCTGCAGCATGGCTGCAGGGCTTGCCCCTCTCTTGCCAACCCTTGCAGGAGAGTTGTGGGAGCTGGACCAGCCCCGTCCATCCCTACCTGTGTGCCACAACGATGCTGGTGCGCTGGGCGCAGACTTTGGCCAAGGAGGCCTGGATGTTCCTCTCAGTCTCCGTGTCCAGCGCAGAGGTGGCCTGCGAGAGAAGGACATGGGCAGCGAGCAGATGTGGGAGGGGGGATGCTGCTAGGGGGGGTTAGTGCCATTACCTCGTCCAGAAGAATGATGCGGGGGCCCTTCAGGATGGTGCGGGCAATGGCCACACGCTGCTTCTCCCCCCCGCTCAGCTTCAGCCCCCGCTCCCCCACCTGGGTGCTGTACCCTGCAGGCACAAGGACAGGCACACGCTGTGCCGGTCCCATCCAGGACAGGGATGGGGACCGGGGCTGCGCTGCGTGGGACTTCCCCTGCCCAGGGGCTCATTCTGCCCTGGAGATGGCAAGGGCATAGGGTTGCATGGGTGTCTCCAGGTGGGATGTCACCTCGTGGCCCCCAGTGGGCTGCCACGAAGCCAGGAAGGGGCTGCAGGGTCTCACCATCAGGGAAGGAGAGGATGCGGTCATGGATGTCGGCGGCCCGCGCCGCCTCCTGCACCTCCTCGTCAGTGGCCTGCACCCGCCCATAGCGGATGTTGTTGGCAATGGTGTCATTGAAGAGCACAGTGTCCTGGGGCACCACCCCGATGTGGGCACGCAATGATGCCTGCTTCACCTGGTGGGTGGGGGTTCAGGGGGGTGAGGCTCAGCCATCCCCCACCCCCCTTGTGCCCTCCCAGCCCCACAGTGCCCATACCTGGGAGATGTCCTGCCTGTCGATGCGGATGCAGCCACCCCGCACGTCGTAGAAGCGGAAGAGCAGGCGGATAATGGTGCTCTTACCTGAGCCTGAAGGCCCAACCTGAACCAAAGGTAAAAGGATTTATTTGGAGATGCCAAAGTGCCCCTGGCTGCTGGGCAAGGACAAACTGCGCTGGACGAAGAAGATTGTCACAGCCCATCCTTGCCAGCCCCTCTGCCCGCATTCCATCCCACAGCTCTCACCAGGGCCAGGGTCTGCCCAGGCATCACAGAGAAGGAGATGTCCTGCAGGATTTCCTTCCTAGGGAGCGAGACGAGGTAGAGATGGAGATGACAGAGATGGAGAACGGTTTGGGGCCATTTCCCCTGCCCCACATCCTGGTACCAACCCCCATATCCAGGCCCTTTCCCTTCTGCCGTCCCATACCCATCAATATAACTGAAGTGCACATTCTCAAACTCGATGCGCCCAGCCTCCAAGTGCAGCTCCCTGGCATTCACTGCATCCTTCACCTGATGGATGGAGATGTGGCCTCAGTGGCAGGCCATGCCAGGCAGTGGGGTCAGGAGGAGGGCACCCACCTCTTGCTCCTCATGAAAGAGCTCAAACATGTTCTCCATGTCCACAAAGGAGTTCTGGATCATCCTGAAAGGGGAAAGAGACCAGAAGAAGGGTTTGGGGAGCACACCCTGTCCCACATGCACAGGGCACCCCACAGCTGCATGTTACCTGTAGTAGGTGCCAAACCAGTTGAGCGGTGTATAGAGCTGGATGATGTAGGTGCCAAAAAGGACAAAATCCCCCACCTAGAAGGGCCGGGGGACACTTGCCCGTCACATTCAGCACTGGGGCTGTCCCCAGGCAGGGGCTGCCCAGCTGGCACAGCCTTACCTGCAGCTTCCCCTCAGTGACAAAGAAGGCACAGAGCAGAGACCCCGCCAGAAGTCCCAGCCCGATGACCAGGTTCTGGGTCTGGTTGAGAAGACCCAGCGAGGCGCTGACCTTCCACTCGGAAAGCTGGGAGGGGAGAGGTCCTCCATGACACCTCCATCCCCATCCACCCCACCGGTGCTTACCAGGCTCCTTCCCCCAGGAAGGCACTGAGCCCCCATACCTGGTACTTGACAATGGCATCGTTGAAGCGGTTCACCTCGTAGCTCTCTGCATTGTAGTACTTCACCTGTGGGACACGGAGCCAGGCTCAGCATCCACCTTGCTCCCACAGCACCCAGCCCTACCCGTCCATCATTACTGTCTCAAAGTTGAGCAGCGAATCCACAGCACGGGACTTGGCCTCGTTGTCTCGCGTGTTCATGTCCCGCCGGTACTTGGTCCTCCACTCAGTGATGAAGATGGTGAGAGCTGAGGAGGAGCAGTGTGTCATTGGATGCTGGCAGCCCTGCAGGACCCCAAGGACCTCACTCACTCAGGTAGAGGCTCATGCACACAAAGATGATGAGTCCAAACCACGCGCTGAACACAGAGGTGAAGTACACGATGCCGATGATGATGTCCGCGATGGTGGGGACGATGCTGAAGACGATGTAACTGGAAGGAAGGATGGGGACGTGGCATTAGGTCAACCCACCGGGGTGAGCACGGTGACCCTCTGCAGACGTGCTCTGACCTGAGCAGGCTGTTGATGCTGCTGGTGCCCCGGTCCACGCTGCGCAGCACCTCACCGGTGCGGCGGCCCAGGTGCCAGCGCAGGGACAGGCCATGCAGGTGGGCAAAGAGCTGCACCTGCACCTGCCGGTTGGTGAACTGTTGCACCCACACCCACAGGAAGGTGCGCAGGTTGCTGATGAAGCCCGTGGAGCCTGCGGAGTGCCACAGGATGGTCAGCAGGGACCGGGTCCTCCCTTAATATCCCAGCTGAGGGACGCTGCAGGAGGCTCTACATGCCCTGTGATCCTTACCAGCACCTCCGCCCTGCAGGAGCTTCAGCCCCACATAGATGCAAACGGTCCAGGCCAGGGTGTGCCAGGGAGCACCCTCGGTCAGCTCGTTCACTGAGAAGAGAATGGCATTGTTTGGGGCAGAGAGCACCGCCGGGTGCCCTCTAAGGACCAGCCTCTGTACCCAGCACTGCCCCAGCACCCTGTTGCCGCCAGGTTCCTGTGCTCTCCCACATCACTGGGGTCACTGGACACATGGTGAAGCAGTGGGCTGTGGTCCTTCAGCACAGCATCCCCGGACCAGCCCCAGGCCCCTCACCAATATTCTTGTAGTAGATGGGGACAAAGACGTTGATAGCTCGCTCCAGCCCCATGAGCGCCATGCAGAACAGCACCAGCCCCTGCAGCAGGCGGTTGCCCTTCGGCCACATGTATGGCACCAGCAGGCGCAACTTCCTCCGGAAATCCTTCCAGGTAGAGCTGGTCCTGCCTGCATCCTGCAGCAGTGGCTGGGGGAATACAGGGTAAGCAGTCATCCCCGGAACCACCTCCTGGAGAAACTCATCCCAGCCCCCAGGTACACCCCTCCCCAGACAGCCCTGGGACTTACCTGGCTGTTCTCCACATCCCGCTCCTCCTCGTTGACCAGCAGCATGTAGGGTTTGTGGGGCAGCCCAGGCGCCTTCATGCCCAGGATGAAGAGTGTGAAGGTGCAGACATAGCGCAGCAGCCAGAGGCTGAACTGCACCTGGACAGGGAGAGGGGGTCAGCAAGACCAGTTATCCTAGCACAGCTCAGCTGTGATGGGCACGCAGTGCAACCTGCACATGCTGGGTGCCAGGAGGAGGTCAGCACCAAAATTCACCACCCCCACAGCCCACTAACCTTCTGGTCGGTGTCCTGCAGCGCCCACCACCACAATGGGCTCCTCCAGCACACCAGCGTCAGGTTCTCAGCAGCAAAGGCCAGCGCCCAGAAGAGGAGGAGGACTGTGCCATGGCCCCGTGTGCGGTCGTGTGCCAGCACCCGTGTGTGCTCCAGCTGCAGGAGGGCAATGGCGCAGCCCCAGGCAGCAGCCCAGAGGCAGGTATACAGCACCATGTACCCATAGAGCCTCCCTGGGCCAGCCAGCTGCCAGAGAAGCCCACCAAGGGGCAGCAGGGCCAGCAGCAGTGACAGCAGGACCTGGGTGTGGTAAAGATGTGAGCGAGGGATGTATTTTGGCTCCATGGCACGGCCAAAACGAACGTAGCAGGCATACTGTAGGGCACCCAGCAGCAGGCAGACGCTCAGCAGCACGGTGGGCACCAGTGTGAAGAAGAAACAGGGCTGGAAGCCCTGCTGCACCCAGGCCTGTGCCATGGAGCTGTTGGCCTCGCAGTATCCCCCCAGCAATGCCATCCTGGTTGGTCTGTAGCTGCAGAGAGAAGAGGATGGGGTCTCAGAGGGCCGCTGCGGGGGATGCGGGGCTGGACAGCATGGCCAGGCAGAGGGCAGTGGTGGGGGTGAACACCGCAGGACATGGCCGTGTGGGGCACACTCAGACCCCTGTGTGCAGTAGGGCATGAGCAGCAGCTGGGGTCAGCTCTGCGGTCTGG